GGGGTGGGGCCGACGCGGCAGGGGCTGGTTCCTCGCTGTTTCCAGATGGCCTTGTGGAGCTAAGACTGAATGCATTTCAGCAGAGATGGCCACCACAAAATTGTATATTGGCTCCCAGCCGGCCTGGGCCAGGGCCAAGGCAACAGGGGCCGTTCCCTCACTGTTTCCAGGATGGCTTCGCGGGCCACATGAAACCACTTTGCAGGCCGCATCCGACCCCCGGGCCTTGTGTTTGACGTGTCTGCACTAAAGCAAGGGTGTCAAATGCCAGTCTGCGGGCTGGACGCATCATCCGGAAGCTATCCGGCAATGACAAAACCATCCCAATATGTTGCGTGACGTCACGTGACATCGCGAGTTTGACATGTCTGCACTAAAGGTATCCCTTGACTTACAACCATTCAGTGACCATTCAAAGTTACAACGGTGTGGGGAAAAAAAGGACTTGCAACCTGCCTTCACACTTACGACCGCCAGAGCATCCTCATGGTCACTTGATTCAAATTTGGCCATGTATTTACGACAGTTGCAGCGTTGTGGGTTCACCATTTTGCAACTTTCCTAACTGGCTTCCAACAAGCAAAGTTAATGGGGGAAGCCAGATTCACTTATCAACCGTATGCTTCACTTAATGTCCATGGTGATTTGCTTAACAATGGCAGCAAAAAAGGTCATAAAATTGGGTGCCACTCACTTAACAGCCTCCTCACCTAGCAACAGAAGTTCCGTCCCAATTATGGTTGTAAATCAAGGACTACCGGTACGTCTTTTCTCGGGGGCACTGTAAGGTTTTCAGTGCCCCGTCATTCTTCAAGCTCCAGTTTTGTTTTCTTGGGAGATGTGCCCAGGAACCATTCACAGAAATAGGTTGAGTCATCACAGCCTAATAGCAGCCTTTGTAGAAATGTAGACATGTTGGTCTGTAAAGCATGATATTGCAGTGATGGTGAACCTTTTAGAGACCACCTCCCGTCCTGCCTGCTCTGCCCCCACCCGCCCCCTGCCCCACCTTGCAAGGCCATGCACCGCTTCCATGTCCCGCCGATCACCCAGGCAGCCCTTCAGCGCCATGGCAGCCATGCCCTCTGCCCACATCCCGCAGCATCATCTGCACACTATGGGGCGCAAGGGTGGAGTCTTGTCTCTGCTGCCCGGCTATGTCCTGCCTGTGCTGCTCTGTGCGGGCCGCGCCTGGGGGCAACTCTCCTTCAAGGAGCTGCTGGTGAGGAGGGGGAATGGGGGGGAGGCAGGGCTCGGGCGATGGCGCGCATGCCCACAGAGAGGGCTCCGAATGCCGCCTCTGGCACGCGTGCCATAGGTTCACCACTACTGGGATATTGTCTGCACTAACAGTAAATATTTCTGATTTACTCAGTAAACCATGGCCAAGCAAACCATGGTTTGGCATGATGTGCAAGCCCCGCTGTAGAGGTTCATCTGCTCCTACAACATTCCTGACTGAGCAGCCAAAAATTACATGTAGTTCTCAACTTACAACAGTTCATTTAGTGACCAAAGTTACGATGATACTGAAAAAGCGACTTATGAACATTTTTCACACTTATGACCGTTGCAGCATCCCTGTGGTCACATGATCAAAATTCAGATGCTTGGTAACTGGTTCATATTTATCACAGTTGCAGAGTCCCAGGGTTACTTGATCAGCTTTTGCAGTCAATGGGGAAGCCAGTTTCACTTAACAACTGTGTGACTAATTTAACTGCAATGATTCATTTAACAATCGCGGCAAGAAAGGTCGTAAAATGGGGCAAAGCTCACTTGACAAATGTCTCTCTTAGCAAAGTAAATTTGGGGCTCAACTGAGGTCGTAACTCGAGGACTATATATGAAACACTTTGTCCTCCCTTGACACAATTAAATCCCTTTTCTGCATTTGCACAGCAAATGAAATCATAAACTGCCAAACTACAATATGATTGGCTAGTTTATCGTTCAGTGTACAGGGGGCTTCTGCATGTTTAATGGATAATAAATACAATAAGCACTTAAATAGGAGGAAGCATGGAGAAAGCTAGGGAGTTCCAGAAAAACATCTACTTCTGCTTCATTGACTATGCTAAAGCCTTTGATTGTGTGGATCACAACCAATTGTGGCAAGTTCTTAAAGAGATGGGAATACCAGACCATTTTATCTGTCTCTTGAGAAACCTATATGCGGGTCAAGAAGCAACAGTGAGAACTGGACACGGAACCACGGATTGGTTCAAAATTGGGAAAGGAGTCCGGCAAGGCTGTATACTGTCACCCTGCCTATTTAACTTATATGCAGAGCACATCATGAGAAAGGAAGGGTTAGATGAAACAAAAGTTGGAATTAAGATTGCCGGGAGAAATATCAACAACCTAAGATATACAGATGATATCATTCTAATGCAGTGGTTCTCAACCTTTTTAATGCCGTGACCCCCAACCGGTCGTAAGTTGAGGAGTACTCAACTGGTCGTAAGTCGAGGAGTACTCAACTGGTGCAGCACCGTTTGCAGAATGGGACTTTTGGCGGGCTCAGCAGGGCAGAGACAGCCTGGACAATTCCTATTGGCTTTTGAAAGCCAATAAATTTAGACTCTATTCAAGAGAGTCTGTTCTATTGGCTTTCAAAAGCCAATAGAATAAAAGGGAGTAGAACAGCTAAGGAAAAGGGGGGGGGGAAATGGTGGACTGCATTGTTTGGCGACCCCCATGAAATGGTCGTTCGACCCCAAATGGGGTCCCAACCCACAGGTTGAGAACCACTGTTCTAATGGCAGAAAGTGAAGAGGAACTAAAGAGCCTCTTGATGCGGGTGAAGAAGGAGACTGCAAAAGTTGGCTTGAAACTCAACATTAAGAAAACCAAGATCATGGCATCTGACCCTCTCAATTCCTGGCAAACAGATGGGGAAGAAATGGAGGTAGTGACAGATTTTATTTTCCTGGGCTCCAAGATCACCTCAGATGGGGATTGCAGCCAAGAAATTAAAAGACGCTTGCTCCTGGGGAGGAAAGCTATGGCAAATCTAGACAGCATACTAAAAAGCAGAGACATCACCCTGCCAACAAAAGTGTGTATAGTCAAGGCCATGGTTTTCCCAGTTGCAATGTATGGCTGTGAAAGTTGGACCATAAGAAAGGCTGAGCAACAAAGAATGGAGGCCTTTGAACTATGGTGCTGGAGAAGACGCCCGCGAGTCCCTTGGATTGCAAGACGATCAGACCGGTCAGTCCTAGAGATCAACCCTGATTGCTCTTTAGAAGGCCAGATCCTGAAGTTGAAACTCAAGTACTTTGGCCACCTAGTGAGAAGGAAGGACTCACACTAGATGACCTGCAAGGTCCCTTCCAATTCTGTTATTCTGTTCTGTTCAATGTGTTGTTCCAGAACAGGGGTTCTCAACCTTGGCAGCTTTGCTGGCTGAGGAATTCTGGGAGTTGAAGTCCACAAGTCTTAAAGTTGCCAAGGTTGAGAACCTCTGTTCTAGAAACATATGTAACTACTTGTGCCACTGCGTTCAGCTGAAATTTCCAATTTCTTCAAGGGCGTCCCATGTACAGCACATTGCAGTAGTCCAACTGGGAGGTGACTAGGGCATGAGTGATCAAGTGCAGAGATCTTTGATTGAGGAACAGATGCAACTGCAATCACCCAAAAGAGGTTTGATACTGGATGAAAATTGAGCAGCATAGTGGGGTACAGCGATGGCTTTTTGAGGAGAGAGCTAATCAAGATATATTTTTCACTCCGTTTACCACACCACACACACACAAACCACCTTAACCAGTCAGGAGGGCCATGTGGCTGAGCTCAGTCCCAAGAACCCTGTTCACTTCATGGGGCAAACTATTCAAATATACACCGTGGAGATGTTTTGGACTACAGTTTCCATCAGCCCCACCAGCAGACACTTTGGGGTAGGCTGCTCTTACACAGAGAAGAGCTGCAGGTTCTCAGTCGCAACAGCTTTTTGATTAGGTGCAGAAATCCGACTAATCTGGGGGTGGGGGCTGTTTGATAAACCATCATTTCCCGCACCAACCAGGATTGGTTGGATGGGACCCCCGTATTCGATCAGGCTGGGAACCACGTCACAGAAACCACAACGATCAGATTGCAAAAGACCCGAGATGCGAAGCAAACAGATCACACACGGCGACTTCGCAGGAAAGGAGAAATCGGCTAAGGGTAGGGAGGCGAAGACGCCTCGCAAACGGGTTGCTTGCATTTTTGCGCAATTTTTTTCTTTGCAAAGCAGGCGCGTGTGCAAAGGACGGCGGACCCCGTCGCATTGGCGGCCGCGGCGGCGTCTTGGAAGGGAGTCGAGCTTCGTTTCTAAACGCCAATCTGGGACTCCACTGTAGTTCTCAGGCGGGTCTCGGCCCAAAACGAAGAGAAATTGCGCCGCCAGGATTCACCACCCGCGCCCAGAAGGCCCGCCGTAAGCAACAAGAACCACCGAAGCCACTTTTAATATAACCTCGCCCGATTACGGTTTACTTTAAACCACGGTTTACCGGCTGCCCCAAACCGCAGAGCCGCACGGCCCGACAACCCGAGCTGGCGTCGCCCGACTCCCTGCGCTACCAGCCATTCGCACGTCGGCGCAGCTAACCGCGCTAGCTCAGTCTACCTCAGGGGTAGGCAACCTTGGCTCTTTTATGACTGATGGACTTCAACTCCCAGAATTCCCGAGCCAGCTATGCTGGCTCGGGAATTCTGGGAGTTGAAGTCCATCAGTCATAAAAGAGCCAAGGTTGCCTACCCGCACCCGAGACGGAGCGGCTGACCCGGAGGGCCCCTCCAAGCTGCGTTCAAAAGAACCCAGGCTTCCCTCCCCGTGTTTGGTGCTTACGGCGGGGTCTGCTTCCCTTTGCCCTCTTCTGGGGCCGAGGGTCAGGGGAGGGGAGCGGAGGGCGGGCCGGCTTCCACCCCTCACACACACACTTGGGCAAACTTTGCGGGCGGAGCGCAGCGCCCGCTTCTCCCCCCTCGCTGGGGCCTTTGCGCACGAATCCGCGACGTTTTCCACCCGGGCTGCTACTCGCCCAGCCGAGATAAGAAGCGGCGGAGCTGCTGGCCACGCGCGCCTTTCCGGAGAGGGAAGAGCCGAGGCCGGGGAAGAGCCGCACCTGTTGGGGAAGGATGGAGCGCAGTCGCGGCGGGGTGGAAAAGAGTCACCTGCTCACCGGGACGGAAAGCAGGTGAGTCCGGTGAAGGGTCTCCTCGCCTGCCTGCCTTCCTTCCTTCCTTCTTTTTCCCTTCTTCTTTTCTTTCTTCCTCGACGACGATGCCGATCTCCTCTGCCCGGGTTTCCGTTCCGCCACCCTCCGCTACCGGAGCTGGATCTCGTCGCCGAGCCTCCCGCGCGTGGCATCCCAGCCATAAAGCGGCCTCCTAAGCCCAGTCTTCCTCGGAAGTAAATCTCCAGTTGATCCGAAAGAAGGCGGGCTGCTCAAGTGCAGGGGGAAAAATGCCCTGGTGGATCGCGATCTTGGTTAACTTCCTATTCGCTTTGGAAGGGTGTCCGTTCCCCCACCTTCCTGTGCCTCCAGTCAAATGAACCAAAGGATTCTCAATAATATTAATATATATATATTAAGAAAAGAAAGAAGATTTCTTTCTCCCATACTTGGGCTGACAGGGTGCACAGTCAAGGTAATATACATACATACATACATACATACATACATACATACATATATATTAATTATATATTTACCAATAAAATGTGAACACCAGGAATATAATAAACTATAAAAGTTTAATACCATCACCAATCACCAAGCTTTCATCAGATACTTCTGACATCGTCAGGGTTAATGCTGGTCTGTGGGAGAGTGCCTTTATAGGTGAGCCGTCATTTGCACACAGCTCCTAGATCTTGTCTAGGTCCTAATTGATTTAACTGCTTTTTAATTATGGCTTCCATACTGATGACTGATGTAATTAAAAAGCAGTTAAATAAATTAGGACCTACAACAAGATCTAGGAGCCGTGTGCAAATGACGGCTTACCTATAAAGGCACTCTCCCACAGACCAGCATTAACGCTGACGATGTCAGAAGTATCTGAGAAAAGCTTGGTGATCGGTGATGGTATTAAACTTTTATAGTTTATTATATTCCTGGTGTTCACGTTTTATTGGTAATTGACTATGGATTCACCCAGGAATCATATTTTTATTTTCACTATTCTTATTAATAGTGAATATATATATATATATTTGCCAAAGCTGATTTAAAAAAAAAGTTGCAAAGTGATTGGAATAAGCAGGTCCCCGCGTTTGGAGTTATTGCATTTTAACTTTATGTTCTCATAAAGGCATTCAACTATCTCGCCTGTCCCCCACTTTTTATTTTTTTATTTTTAAATCAATGTTGGCAAAAAATAAAAGGGCTGTTTTCTCTTATGGCCACCCCTGCTGTTCAGGAAGGGGTGTGTTCTTCAGTATGAAGCAACTCTTTGGGAGGGCTTCGCCTGTTGAATTTCTGCTTGCTTTGTATTTGCTAAGAGCAAGGCAGCCACAAGGCCTATTCCCCAAAAGGAAAAAAAAAAGATGGCGCCAGATTCCTGCAGGCCTTCCCAGGTGTGTGTGAGAAAGTCATTATCTCTTGCAAACAACTTTGAGGTCCTTTGAGTGCATTGGGAGAGATGTTTACATTTGGTGGTGGTGGGGGGGGGAATCTCTGGTTTTCCACATGGGGTTAATGCAAAGCTGTGGATTCTCATTTTAATATGCTCATCCCTGAGCGTGGGACCACACCAGAGCTGCCAGTTCTACTGGGCTACTTAAAAGAAGTGGGATCCTGCAGCTAACGTGACTTGAAGGGGGAAGCTAAGGTAGTTGGAGTTGCTAAGTTGCTATGTTGCTAGTTGCTGCAACATTTGGACTATTGTATTCCCTGTCTCTTTGTGGAAGCAACCTAGTGTAAAACTCCTCCATCTGGAAAGTGGCACTAATGAAGTTTCAAAGGGCAGAGAAGGCCAGAATGTTTTGGTCTATGATATTTATTAGATTTATACCATTTATTTTCTTCTTGTTGTGCCATATCTGTTATTGGACGTTGGCGATCCTGTTTTTATCAGCAGCCGCACGAAAAAGTGCTGCTGAGTTTTGTCCAAACTAGTCCCTTAGATTTTGAAGCCACGATGTTCTTCTTCTGCCTGGACCTTGTTTGCCTTCAATCTTTCCCTGGAGGATTAAATGGAGTATGCCGTATTTTTCTGGGTGTCGCATCATATGTCCGAAATATTCTAATTTCCGTTTTTTAGTTGTTTTGATGATTTCCCTTGGCTTTCCCAGGCGGCTTATCCCCTCCTCCTTTCTGATCTTGTCAACCCAGCTTATACGTAACAGCCGCCTGTGAATCCACATTTCAAATGCTTCTAGTCTCTTCAGGTGGCCTTCTGTCAGAGACCGACTCTCTACTCCATAGAGCAGGATAGGAAAAATATAGCATCTGACAAGCCTGATTTTCAGTCTTATTAGAGCAGTGGTTCTCAACCTTTCTAATGCCGCGACCCCATAATACAGTTCCCCATGTTGTGGTGACCCCCAACCACTTATAGATCACCGGGTGCCAGGGGCGTGGCCAAAGAAAAGGGGGAAAAAATGGCGGACAGCCTTGTTTGGCGACCCCCGTGAAATGGTCGTTCGACCCCAAATGGGGTCCCGACCCACAGGTTGAGAACCACTGTATTAGATCCTAACAGATTCTAACTCCTAAAAGAGTCACTTAACAGTGAGACGGATGGCATACATATTTAATACATCTATAAATAAAATAAAAAATATAATAATAATAATAATCCCCCAATGAGGCACTACCTTGACGTGGTTGTGGGGCTTGTGTACTCTGAGGAAGGTGAGAGCTATGCCAGAGGTTCAACCATACTGGACAGGTCTCATCAGAGGAGTCAGACAAAGAGTGTCTCTCCTATAAAAAATATGGTGAGACGTAAATTGCAGAATGCCATACCGGCTCGGACGTCGCCCGGGTTAACAAGGTCCGCACTAGATATTGGAGTTCCTGGATATCTGGTGAAAAATGGGTTACAGGACTCAGGACTGTTGGCTGAGCAACCAGGGCCAGCAGCTGCAGAACTACTGGAAGAAAAGGTGTTTACCCGTCGCAGATACACAGTGATGGAAAACAAAGAAATAATGATCTGTTACTACAGATCAAGTCCAACAAGAAGAGGATATCTAAAACAAATGCACCAGTTCTGGAAAGAACAACATCCAGAATCAGAAATAACAGAACAGAGACTAGCAGATCAACGCCGATTTATAACACGAAATAAAGTATTCACAGAAACAGAATTGGACGAACTGCAAAGGTTTACCCAGGGCAAAGAAATCAAAGCATTACCAGAAATAATTCAGAATGTAGAGGCAAACCAGGGGGAGTTGGCAGTGAAGGAATCTAGCAGAGATATTCAACTGTTCTCATTTGGAAACCAGGCACCTCTACCTCAGGAAGAACAAAACCCTCTAACTAAAGAAATAAAAGAATTGAAACAAAGAATAACTGAGCATCTAGAACAGCACAAAAACAACAGAATAATGCAGTGGTTCTCAACCTTTCTAATGCCGCGACCCCATTATACAGTTCCCCATGTTGTGGTGACCCCCAACCACTTATACATCACCGGGTGCCAGGGGCGTGGCCAAAGAAAAGGGGGAAAAATGGCGGACAGCCTTGTTTGGCGACCCCTGTGAAATGGTCGTTCGACCCCAAATGGGGTCCCGACCCACAGGTTGAGAACCACTGGAATAAGGCTACCTGCATTGAAGCTTGTTCCAAAGAAACAGCTAGCACAAGCATTAAAAGATGCAAATACTGCAATATCAAGTATAAGCACCAATTCACTGCAAGAAACAAACCAACTAATGTACAGCACAGCTGCAGTTATAACAGAATACCTGGGATGCAAAATCAACAAAGAAGAAAAACAAACAGTGCACCAGAAAAATGGAAGGTTAGACTAGAAAATAAGATCAGCAAGTTAAAATCACATGCAAGCAAGCTAGAACAGATGAAAGAAAAGAAGCTGAAGAACAAGAAGAAATTGAAAAGTGGCTAACAACTGGGAAAACCTACCTAATAATGAAAAATCCAGCAAAAGGGGCAACACCAGGTAACTACAGGCCAATTACCTGCTTACCAACAACTTTCAAATTACTAACTGGTGTGGTAGCTGATGCAGTACAACAGCATCTAGTTGAAAACAATCTCTTTCCACCTGAGCAGAAAGGAAACCGCCCCAATAGCAGAGGAACAAAAGATCAACTCCTAATAGACAAAATGATCTTGGAAAACTGCAAGAGAAGGAAGACCAACCTGAATGTGGCATGGATTGACTACAAAAAGGCATTTGACTCTCTGCCACATGATTGGATAATAAAGTGCCTAGAAATAACAGGAGTCAGTAGAAACATCAGAAAATTTGTGCAAAGATCGATGGCACAATGGAAGACACAGTTGCAGATCAATGGTGAGAGGCTGGGAGAGGTTAATATCAAGAGAGGAATATTTCAAGGAGATTCATTATCACCATTACTATTTGTTATTGCACTGTTTCCTCTGTCAACAATACTGAATAACTCAGGACATGGCTATCAAACATCAAAAACATCTGCCAGACTATCCCACCTCCTTTACATGGATGATCTGAAGCTGTATGGAAAAACATCATCTGAAATAGAATCGCTGCTCAACACTGTCCGTATATATAGCCAAGATATTGTAATGGAGTTTGGCTTGGACAAATGTGCCACACTTACTATCAAACAAGGAAAAATAGTGAAAACTGAAGGAATCAAGATGCCCCACGAAAATAACATTAAGAGTCTGGATGAGGAAGAGTACTACAAATACTTGGGTATCCTTCAAGCTGACAACATCAAGCACACTGAAGTCAAGAAAAAGATTAGAGGTGAATACATCAAGAGAGTGAAGAAGATCTTAAAGTCCAAACTCAATGGAGGAAATACCATAAAGGCAATCAACACCTGGGCAATCCCAGTCATTAGGTACACAGCTGGAATAGTGGACTGGACTCAAGCAGAACTAAAAGCAATGGATAGGCAGACCAGAAAAATAATGACAATGAATCATGCCCTTCATCCACGCAGTGACATTGATAGACTTTATCTACCAAGGCAAATAGGTGGGCGTGGAATGCTACAAGTACATCA